AGAGAGAGAGAGAGAGAGAGAGAGAGAGAGAGAGAGAGAGAGAGAGATTATGTCGTGAGAAAAAAAATACTCTCAACTTTCATCTCCTTCTACCGACAATCCTTCCTGGCCGCTGCCGTTTATGAGTTATCCCCTGATTGAGATTAACGGCCTTGCCGAATCAGAATTTGTTTCCAGCAAGGTTTTCCGAGAAAGTGAGGCGAAAAAATCGCTTTTAATTAAAGTGAAATCATCTCCTGAAGCTAGTATATGAAAATTCCAAAGTATTGTGTCAATTGTGTGTAATTAGATTTTTCTTCAGCACCAAAGCAACGGACAGACAGACACAAATTTGTCAAGCATAATCTTTAGTTAGTTATGATTCAAGGTTAACGCAACTTCTATTTATCTAACGCAGCTACGTTGAATTTCCCAGCACGAAAGGATCTGATGAATATCCAGTGGATATTTTCGAGTATGATAAACAGAATGGATTATATTCGTACATTAGTGTATGCCTGAGAAGTCTGCTTTGCAGTCTAGATACCTAACACAAAAAATCCATCCATACATTATAATGAAATCAGTTCATCAGTCACATGACAAAGGCATATAGTATCGTTTATCGCTTACCGCTTACAAGAGACGCAAAATAAATCACTTCATCGATGCGCGTTAAAACCGAGTTCACTCGAGTTATTATGAATCTTTGCAGACAATTGAAAGCCTTCTTCAGATTGCAAGGACCAATTAAATACGTAACCGAGACGTTGTCTTAATGGGTTTCGATGCATTGTTATGCTTTTAAACCAGCGAAAACTACTCCTTTAAGTAAAGGTAATTGTCTCGCTTAGCGTTACGATTCTCTTATATGCAACTAATTAACATCACTTCTATAAAATTTTCTTTTTTTTTGTTTTTAACAAAACGTAAGAAAGCATACTAATTGTTAGCCGGCTATGTATACTTGTATGTAGAAAAACAAAATAACAATAAAACATTTAATTCACATTTCAAAGCGCCATTCATCGTCTTAACAAAAACATATTTCAACCGTGTATGCGCGCATTGTTTTCCTTTACTTTTGTTTTTATATCCACCAACGCAGCATGTTGTTGTTGTTGCTGTATTCATTTTGTCGAAATGTTTACAACATAAAGAAAGAAAATTCTAAACATTCTATTACGTACGCTACACATTCTTTATCGATCTAAGCATAGCTATCCTGCTGCCTGGCTGGTTGTCCGTCTATGGAAAGCTTGTTCATACGTGTTCTAAAAATTATTATATCGAGCTTGAATTTTGCGGTTCACTATTAAATACTTGACTACTACTCGATCGTACATTTACTCGTATAACGACTTTTTAAACTAAATTGGACCGATCCCGATAATTTTTAACAGTGTTCGTCCGTCAAGCAGAACATGTCGCCATATACTAAAGTTCGTCCAAATATCTCAAAAACTGCGATCTTTAAGTTGAACAAAAGAAATTAACTAGGGCAGGCGGACAGGCAACCGTAAGTCGATTTAGAAAACGATTTTGAAACGATTGATCTAATAAAAAAGGAGCTCTACCTCAAGTCCTTTGTCTGGGCATTGTATACATACCCTTATACTACAAGTGATGTAAGCTGCAACTTAGAAGCTTGTTGGTGAAAATTCATAATTAGGCTACAATATGGTAAAGGTATCCTTTTGAATATAATTTCTTTCTACATTCAAAATTTATAGAGCTTTAAAATAAACGCGGACGGACGGACAGATAGGCTTTGATCGATTCAGAATCATTTTCTAATACACCCTTGTACAACAATTGTTACAGGAAATAAATATGGACTTAATCGGTCAAGGGGCACGCCTACAAAGCAACATGAATTGAACATATCTCTATTTTCAAAAGCAAAAAAAAAAAAAAAGGGCTTTTTTATCTCATTACTCATTACAAACTATAGAGACGACGATAAGTATTTTCACGTCTAATCTATTGTCCCGGTCTACTCAGTATTATAGATAAAGAACAATATTGAAATTTGAGCACAAAGAGATGGTAGGCATAAAAGGTTCATGCACAAACCGAATATAAATTTTTTTTATTATTATTTATTTGTTTTGCTTTCATTTTATTTAACTTACCATGAGCCTTTAAAGCGCTTTCAGTACCGGACGGTAGCTCACAGTCCTCATGGGTGCGTGGCTTTTCAAATTTATGCACAGTCAGTTTATGTAAAGTTAATTGTGACGGCCGGGGAAAACGTATCTGACATACATTGCATTCATATGGCCGCCCTTCAGCATCGTGAGCCTCCATATGACGTTGCAAGGCGTTGCGTATGCGAAAACCTCGTTTGCATATCGTGCATATGAATGGCATTATTGTCTGTGTGCCGTGTGCCAAATAATGATGTTTTCGCAATGAAATTTCATTTGTAAAGCATTCCTCACACAACGGACAATTATGTGTGCCACGTAGAGCACGTTCAGCAACAATTTGTTCTGTAGCATCGACACCCTCATTAATCGTATATTTTCCACCGCCATTACCACTTGTTTCCACCTCCGCATAAACATTGGGACTTGAACAGGAGTTTTGCGAAGGACGTCGTTTACGAAATTGTCGCAATGTACTGGTTGATGTAGAATCGGGTTCAGTTTGTTCCGGTGACGGCATTGTCACATGTTGACCACCATTCGGTTGCTGTAATCGCGGTTGTTGTTGTTGTTGCCGCTGGTGTTGTTGTTGTTGTGTTACTATTACTGGCGGTATGGATTTCCTTGCGTAAGTATCTGTTGAGTTTTTGCAACATTCGTGGTCATCTGTGTTCGCAGTGAGGAAAAAGAAAACAAAACAAAACAAAAAATATTTAAAATATTATATTTGTCTTAAAAGTTATATAATTGGTTCTTACCCTCATCATCGTCATCATTACAATCTGGACAGCAAATAATTCGTGCTTGCCGCTGTTTATCCGGTAGCGTAGTATTATTACTTGTGTTACCACCTCCTTTATGGGCATTAGCTTTACAACTGCTTGTGGCATTTATATGCTGAGCATCCAATTGGAGATCAATAGCTGCGAGGATTTCAAAAAGCAAACAAGAGAGAGGTGGCGATAAAAAGTTAATCATTTGTGAAACCAATGAGAAAACAAGTAAACAACATATTTTTCTTTAGAGTAGGTTTTAGTCGCTTCCAAAGCACTCTTTACACACCAGATTTGAAAAGTGAAGCCTATCTTTCGATATTGCAACCACTACATGCAGGTGCGATTCTAATCGCTTGTAGACCTTGGGCCCTATAAATATACTATTGTGGTTCGCAATGGGATCTAGCCGTTCATATTCATATGATGGCTTCTCAGCCCAAAAGCCTTATTTGCGAAGTCGTCGAAAAAGTGTTTGGATCCGAACAAGTTGAACAAAATAACAATTGTGGACTAGCTATTGTGTGCCCTACACAATCCAAAATTACTTATAAAGAATTTTCAAAATATGGCGTCGTAAATTTTGAACGGTATGTCGAAGACCCGGACGGACAAACAAGCTTAAATCAAGCTTGGACGCATTATAGTGCCCTACCGTTAAATATGCTACGCCACCTTACAGTTATTCCTATAACGACTTCCACAAACAAGGCGTTGTATGGGAAATGGTCAAGGAAACATTTGGATTTGAACAATTCCGAACAGTGCTTCGTCCTCTGGCCAAAACAGGTCGGTATGACAAATTTCATGAAAATATTTAAAAAAGTACGACATGTAGGTTGAATAAAAGAAAACAGGACGGACAGACGGACAGACAAGGTTACATCGAAGTAACTCTGAATCTCTCTGATCTATCTCAAGATCTTCTAGGCCTTTATATACCCTTGCATCACAAGTGTAAAGCGCGATTCACTAATTCTGCACTGCCCCTTTAAGCTGCCCAAGTTTATAATTTACGGACCGTCTCTTTAATTTGCTCGCATTTATCACTTACACCATATGTTTCCGGAAACACTAAATGCTAACTAATGTTCTTTCTTCCAGTTTCCATTCTACAGATTACGCTTTCGTAAAAGAATCTGGCTTGCCCTTGAAAATTTAAAGGCAAACTTGGAAATTTTTTCAGGTCCATTTCCGTACAAGCACATCTTTTCCCCGATAACAACTTTAGCAATTTGCGATCACAATAGACGAACAATTGAGAGGTTGCGAAAAATTTCCGTTCTACGAAAGCATTTCATATTATGCTTTTGCAGAGAAGCCGGTGAAGTATTTGCGAGAGCTTTGGGTGTTGATGTATTACCCCGCTTAAGGACAAGAACTGTGGATGTCCGCTACATGTGTAACATGCCGTCGGTCGGAAAGAAGTGGGGAGAGAGAGAGACAGATATGTGTTTTGCCTTACTATGGGCAAGAGTGCACTTCAGTCAGTGATTAAAGTGTGGTCTCTCGCACTGGGAATCGTACTCCCCTATGGAGCAGATACTTACTTGATGGCTATTACCACAAGCAGATTTTTTTCAAATTCTTTCAGGCTTCTTAACTAGTTGTTTATACGGGCGGATAGGTGAATTAAGCCGATTGCAAAACGAAGTCCAGAGAGGCATGTGAAGCGTACTCTCATTCGAAGCTCATTCGAAGAGTATTATCCCCCCGTAGATTTTCTTCAAAGACAATTAACCTTCTCAACTAGAAGTACCATGAGACAAATGCCTATTTGAAGGGTATTATTGCGAGCAAGCTTTCTTCAAATTCCATTACCGTTCTTAAATAGTTGCCTTTGGGGCAACCCAATGAAGTCCCTTGCAAAATGAAGTTCATTAAGGGATGTGAAACAGACAAACAGACGTGTAACTTTAAAAGGATTCGAACCCTCTAAATATCAAGACACCTTCTCAAGCCGTTTCCACTTAGGTATTCTATCGGCCAATCGACTATTTTCATTAATTTTTCCATGCACGAGAGATGTGTCGCACTCTATAAATAGATGCAATGCGCTTTATATAAGTGTAAGGTAAGCAATTCGGAATTTCAGAGGTAAGCTTATAGGGTTCGCGGCCGCTAGAGCATACTTTTCGAGTTTTTTTAACAAACTAATGAGCGAATCCTTTTCATTTTTTTTTCTTCTTCTTCTTTTTCTGCTCCCACGTTCTTAACAAGTTTGCATAATCGGTAGCATTGAGTTTTTCAACGTTACGAAACATTTAAATAACTTATCACACACATCGTACACACACTGACAAAAATTCAAATAAAAGAAAATAATGTAAAAAATGTACTTACGACGTTTGTCCTTTATTTCGTCAGTCACATGCTGTTGAGCATCCTCAACGCGCACCAATCGTTGTTGCTGATGATGCTGTAATAATTGATATGTGGCCGATGTAGTAGCAGAAGAGGTGGAGCTTTGTTTTGATTGTTGAGTTGTTATCACTTTTGTGGACACCAAAGCGGATGACGACGAAGACGATGTTGACGTTGTTGATGATGATGATGATGATGACGATGATGACGATGAGGATGACGACGATGTTGATTGTGGTGGCGATCTTGTACACGCGTGATACTTTTGTAAATGAAAATCTAAAGTGCGTTGCGCACTAAAACTCATACTACACTGCGGGCACTGGTAGCGTTGTGAGGCATGCGATTCACTTATATGCTGTTGACGATGAATACGTCGTTGAAAGTGCATTGGACAGAACGGGCAATTGAACGGCTTATCGGCGGGATGCATATCGATGATATGATTACTGTAATCAATGTTGTTGGTGAACTTTTGACGTTTATGACAGAAGCGACAAATCAATTTAATGTGCTGTTCGCGCGTTGTCGGTAACTTCGGTTGTATTAACTGCAATTGCTTTTGTTGGATTTTCTGTTGCAATTGTTGTTGGACACGCCGATGATTAGCATGTATTGGCTGAACGTTGTTTGATAAGGGTCGAGATGATATCACCATTTTCGGACTGCTGCGACTGTTATGAAGATTGTTTGCTATTACCGTGGTAGCCGGAGTGGCGGAGGACGATGTCGCTGTAACAAAATTGCAATTATTGGTTGGTGCGGCTGGTGTATGCAGAAGCACTGTAGAAGTCCCCAATGACGGTGTGGCTGATGTTAACCTTGCACCTGTGGCGGCGGAAAAGTATTGTGGCGTCGCATTATAATCCTGGGGTATTACCATAATATATTGTGAAGCTGGCGGTGTGCTATGGTGCGCTCTTTGTTGCTGTTGTTGTAAAAGATAATTTTTATTAGCGTCCAATTGTGACTTAGTTAAATTTATCTGTTGCTGTTGATGGGAATGCTGTTGATGTTGCGGTGGCATAACCAAAGAGTTAATATTAACATTTGTGGCATTGAGTGTTGTAGCGGTTGGAGTATTGCTGGTAGTGGTGGCTCTGAAAATACCGCCGCCCACATTTATGTAGTAACCAGTATTAGTGGCGTTGGGTGTTGTACTCTGTTGTTGATGATTGGATAATACTGATGGCACATGAGTGGTTACCTGCTGGGGAAATTGCCCGGTATTGTTCGACCATCTTAGACCTGGTGTCGTTGTGGCACCACTTGCAGGATTATAGAGATTAGGTGCTTTCATTGTGGGTACCGCTTGCGAATGTGCAATCACCGGTAAAGTAGTTGGATGTTTTGCATTCAAAGCTTGTCCTAGTGTAACATATTGTACGTTATTTGAGTGAGGCTTAAACACCTGATCCATCATTGAGTTCGGTGATTTAGCAATAATGGTAAAACTGCCATTTTGCCCGGGTGTGGCTAACAAGTATTGATGATGATGATTGGTACTATGAGAGCTTACTTGACTATTAGGTAAAGTTAATATTTGTTGCGGCGGTTGAGATAGATGAGCGTGGGAATTAGACGGATATGTTACAGTATCCACTATCGGTTTCTCTTCAGCTGTTATCTCTTGACTAACATCAGTCATTTCAACTGTTTCCTCACTCACCATTTCATTGTCATTGAGAGTAGGCGGCTCGTCATTTTCCGGCACAGTCACGCTCTCGAAATCGCTTTCATTGTATGGATTTTCCACTTCGGAGTTTTCTATCATCTCAGTAATATTTGTTGTTTCGTTGTTTTCTTTTATCGTTTGGCAAACGAGTTCTGTTTCTTCTTCCAGATTCATTTGATCCTCCACTTTTGTCGTTATTTCTTCAAAGTTAGATGTATTATTTATTATATCCGTTTCACTTTTACAAATTTCTGTTGTTGCATTTAAGTCGATATTTTCGAAGCAGGGTATATCATTTTGGAAACCGATTAATTCGGACTGTGTAGTATCTTCGTGGCCAAAACATTCCGAATGATAAGTGAAATTATCATTAAATACCAGTTCCGAGTTATTGGAACCCGTCATGTAACTGGTTGTTGAACTCTGGCCGGATTGAGGCGTCAAACCGTTCATATCTAAACTATTCTGATGCTGTGGCGGAGCGAAGGGACTGTTGCTAAGATTAGTGGCACTATTCAAAATACTTTCATTTGGACTTTCCGCATAATAGCTATTGGTAGGGGTAGACGGTGGCTCCGTTAACGGCGAATATATAGAATGAACAAATAAATCATCAGCTTCAGTACTGGCAGTACTCATTGTATAGTTGTTGCTTTGATTATGCATTTGACTTAATATACCATTCAGAGTATTTTCCACATCACGTATCTCATCGCTAAGCTCTTGAGTTATATGAACTGGCAGAGGCGGTATAACGTTCGCCGAGCTATCTTCAATTTCTGACGAGTCTATGCAATGAGTCTGAAATTCGTTAATAAAATCATTGATCTTGTTTGAAGGGCCGCACAAAATGCCTGCATCTCCCTGAATTTCCTCCTCCAATTTTTCATTACCCATCATTTCTAAAGTGTGCTGCGTAGAAGCTAGTGATACATGGCTTCCTGGTGTTGAAAATCCTAGAAAATCACTGCCACTACTACCACTGCGCTCGATGCCATCTACTTTTGTTTGTCTAGGAGGTGTTACGAGATGGACTGCGCTTGCGTGCATATACTCAGCGTTATCTGTAGCTTTATCATATGGTTGCAAATCTTGTTCAAGATCTTGCTCATTTTCATTGCCTTCGTGACTTTTAGTTAAATGCAATTTTTTAAAATCGCGCGTTAACGAAGCGAGCGGTACACGCACTATCAATTTTTGAAGCGATAATCGTCTCGATTCACTCTCGGTGGATGTGAGATTATTGAGCGACGAAGAACTGCTCATTGCCGATAACATTGTAGCGCTGCTGCTAGTTACTAGAGTGCCTTCTTCAATTTTAATAGCATTTATTTGTTCTTCGGATTGTTCGTTCAAATCCTTTGTTACAATGATTGAGGGGGAACTCGTATCTTTAGTACGTATTAAAAGATTATTGTCTTCAAACGGGTTATCGCTTCGTATTTGCATTTCTTTCGCTTCTTGCTTCTTAATTCGCTCTCCTTTCTGCGGTATTCCGCTATCGTTCAAATTTCCTTTGAAATGCAATGCATTCGTCGATTTAGCGACTTTAAGTTTTAAATTATTTTCATAAACATTAACGTCTTCCGCTTTATCATTTACCTGTCCCGCATTATCTTGAACACTACGGCGACTAGCTGGAGCTGTCGTTTGTAACGAAAATTTCTTCAACGAACGTTTACTTCGCTTTAGTGGCGGCAATATATCACCGGAATGTTGTTGTTGTCGCAATTTTTGTGGTTGTTGTATTTGCTTCTGTTCATCTGTTGCTGCCATCGTTGATTGCTCTACTATATCATCTTCACGTCGACATTTAAAACGGGCACCACGTTTACGTTGTATTATTAATTTCATGCTACCACCGCATTTAACCTGAGGCGTTAAAGTAGTAGCTGCCGCTGACTTCTTCTCCTCCTCCTGCTGGGCTTTGGTGTTCGTATCAAAATTATTATGAAATTCTTTAGGCATTTGTACGTTATGTTCAATTTCAGCTTTATTGTTATTGTCCATGTTGTTATTGTTATAGTTATTCTGTTTAATTTGTTCTTGGTCCACCTCTTCCGGCCGCAAGTTTTTAATAATGCATTGGTTATGTTGTTCACCTTTTATGTCCTTGAGTTCAGTGAATTTGTGAAATTGAGTTTGGTTTTCATAGCAGCTACTGTCTTCAATTAAAGTGGACGTTACCGTCTTCTTAGAGCCGGTTTCCGAACGTGTGCAGTTAATTTTACATGCCTGTGGTTGTGTAATATCGATATTCTTATTATTAACTCCTTCCCCCCCATTGTTAATGCCGTTGCCATCGACCGTTTGCATGTCATTGATATTTGCTTTCATTTCAGCTTTTGTTTTCCACAATGATTTGCTCAGCATCCATTCACCGTCACCGTCACCGTCACCATCATCATCACCATCACCATCACCATTACCAATCTCCTTACCATTATCATTATTACAATCACTGCCAGTACGACTAATGCCTTTGCTATTATCCCAACAGATTGTTGATGTTAAGCGACGTCGTTTAGCCGTCGCCGTGGCATATGCAACCAGATCACCGTCAACAACATCATTATCATTATCATTATCATCATCATCATCGCGTTCAACCCCATCACAGTCATCATTATTGTTTTGAACAGCAGGTGTTGCTCTCCATAGTGTCGTTAATCCTTTTCTAAAGTCATTTTGCTTTCTCTTCTGTTTCTTAGTCTTCGTATTCTTTAATTTGTACTCTACGATTCTGCGGCAGTTGCTTAATTCATTGTTTTCTTTCACTTCACCCGCGTCTTTATCTGCGACTTTTCCCTGTAATGTTGATATCGGAGGATCAACCAGACTTGTTGTAGTTCTAACAGCTTTTTCACGTTTTTTATTTAACGAACATCTTCGTTTACGTTTTCGTTTGATTGTTATACTAGTTGTTGTTTTTGTTGTTGTTGTTGTTGTGGTTGTTGTTGCTGTTGCTGTTGCTGTTGTTGTCGATGAGCCGGTTACCTGTGTATTTTCATTTAATTTATAACGTTCGTTGGCACAGCAACTGGTTCGTCTAAAGAACAGTCTTGTACGTAAATTATTGGCTATAACTTCCGTTTTTCTGGACTGGTTTCTTTGCTTTTTAGTTGTCGTTGCGATGTTGTCGATATCAGTCTCATTGTCGGTAAAGTCTTCATTGTCGTCATCGGCATAACCATCAGCATCGTCATTCCTGTTAAGCATATCTTGAATAACAACAGTAGCGACCTGTTGTTCTTGTTCCTGTTGTTTTTGTTGTTCTTGTTGTTCTTCTTGTTGTTGTTGTTGCTGTTGTTTTTGTTGTGGTATATCGTCACTACCCGTTGTGTCTGCTGCTATATGCGTGTTGATCGTTGACGACAAGGAATTTTCAGACTTTAGAACTTGATACAAGTCGTCGGTGAATGCATTTTGTTGTTGTTTCAGTTCTTGTTGCTGTTTTAGTTGATCAGCATATGTTTCTTGACTTATGGTAGTAGTAATCCCAGGCTGTTGTTGTTCTTCTTGTTGTTGTATCTCCGCTTTTATTATGTGGTTATTATCGCATGCAGATGACGATGACGATGATGATGATGATGACGATGACGATGACGACGATGACGGTGAAGTGGTGATCGCGGTGTTCCTTATTGTGGTATATTCTTTTAAGGCTGCTTTCGTTATAAATGTACTTGATTCCTGATTAATCAAAGTTTCGGTATTGGTGGTTATTTGTACTGTGCTATTGCTGTTCTCGTTATTGCTGTCGCTGTTATTGTTGTTGTTGTTGTTGTTATTGCTTTTGCTTATGGGTTCCGTATAACTTAATTCTAAATTAGAAGAAGAATCATTCATTGGCAAATTGAGCAAAGAAAGCTTATCGTCCGCCACAAATTCGTTATCATTAGCGGGATTTCTCTTCAAAGAAGTTTCCAATGGCAAATTTCCTTCGCTTAAAACAATTTCTGATATTTGTTCATTTTCATCTTCATTTTCATTTTCATCTTCGATCTTATTCGTATATTCGTGTATTGTTGCGTTTTCTTTACTTTCATCTTCGCCATCACCACTACAATTGCAAGCATTAGCGTCATCCTTACCATCACCGACCTCATCATTAATATCACATTTTTGTTGTTCACTATGCTTTTGAGCTTTTGCGGCTTCTTTCGTATCAAACGTTACCGCCGCTTTCATTGGTGTCGCTTTGTTTGCCATTGTCTCAACATTGTCCAGCAATGTTGTTGCATCATTGGCATTCCATGTGTTTGAGCTATCAAAGGCTTCCGACTCATTGGACAATGCAGGCAGCAGTTGGCCATAGTTATCGTTTATTAAATCATTGCCAATATTCAATTCAGTCGGTGTAGCTTTTACTTTTTCTTCTTCTGTTTGTTCTTCTTTTTCTACTAGCACTACTACTACTGCTACATCAGCAGTCTTAGCAGCCTTAGCGTCAGCTACTTCTTTACCTGTAGCGACAACTGCGGATGCTGATGATGATGAAGATGCTGCCGCTACTACTGTTGCTGCTGCTGCTGCTGCTGCTGTTGGAGTTGATGTTGGTGCTGGTACTGGTGCTGGTGCTGGTGTCGGTGTTCTTGTGGCCTCCTTTTGCTGCTGCTCAAACTGTCTATCCTCATATAGTGCTCTCAATTGTGTTTGAACTTTTAGACATTTCCGTCGGAATTTGTGTATCATATAAAATTGTGCCGTACATCTTGGACATATACGCTGTGGTAGACCGTCGTCACATTTAATCTGCAAATAGTAAAGGGAGTAAAAACCAAAACAATTGACAATATGATTGTTTTCTTTTTTTCGTTTGTTTACTTTTCAATTTTATATAATATATGAGAACTATGGGAATTGTAAGCATTTTGAACGCTACCATGAAAGGAATACGCAGTCCTTAAGTGCCAATATATTAATACTCTTGAAGGAGAAATGTATAGTAAAAAAATAAGAAAAACTTCCCTTAGGCTTTTTGATGATAGAATGATGGCATCGTCTTTGGCTTAAAGCATGATATCAAGATTCAAATGATTGAAGAAAAAAATCCATGAATTATTCTTATTTAGCCATTCTGCGAGAACCTGCAATAATTATGCATGGCGGAAGGACGGACAGGTGTACAGTACGCATTCTGCTGATCAAGATGGTCTATAATACATACATATATATATATAGATATATATATTTTTGAGATTTTCAATGCAATCCTTATAAATATTGTAAAAATTCAATATGTTCCCGATGCGGGTCATATATATATAGTATTTCTGGGAATTTGCACCTAAATTGGCCCAATTAAGTTATTAAAAATTGTTGGAACCGAATGAATATTTTTAATTTGTTTATAGATAGTTCGGGAAATACTTCGGGATCATATTGTATTTCGTCACTTAGTGAGAAGCTTTGACGGACGGACAATGGTCAAAAGCATAACCAAATAATGTTCATGACACAGGGCGCAAAATATATCAGAACAGCGCAAAACTGTGAAATCATATCGGAACATGTCTCTCCGTTCGTCTTTCCGTCAAACTTACACTATTGTGTGGGCAAATAAGTTTTGGGAGATTCTTTTTGTAACCTTCAATTTTTTTGTCGAATTCTACGTCGAAAAAAGAATAGTCTTTTAGGGCTGTCCCTTAAAGAACCCGCAGTTAGCTATCGTTACAAAAATCCAAGCACGGTATTGAATATTTGTCGAAACCTGTGTTGATCGGAAAGGTGTAACGTCTGTCGATAACAGCGTGAAAGTTAGGACATTCCAGGGTTTGCTATATATGAATACGATATCATTCACACCTTTTGCTGTGTTACGCCCATTTCTAGCTGCAATTGCATGAATTGCTTAATTGTAACAAATAGTTACATACCACGCCTAGTCGACCCCCTCAAATGGAGCCACCGACGATATTCAGTCTTATAGTCGATGTTATTGGTTCGCCTAATTTCTATTTGTCACGGTTAGTTTAGCTTAGGATAGCGTAGCGCATCCACTGTTTATTACTTGTAAGGACTTAGCCACGCTATCCCTTGAATTAATCGGGAAAGGTAAAGATTTCCACATCTAGTCAAAGCTCCAACAAACTATATTGTGTACGCTATAGTGTGACAACTGATACACAATTTACACAGGTCACAGTTTTATTCTGTACTTTACAGAGCTAATTACCACATCTCTGATCGAACCGAATCGATTTGATTTGCACTCCCAGTAGCATAAAGCTTCATGTTTGTGTTTTCTGTCAGGACTAAGGATTCTTTGTATTACGATTGTTAAGATTGAAGATTCACCATAACAGAACTATAGGGATCGTTGTAGACAATGCTTTTTGACTTTGCTTGTGAGTTGGAAGAATACATCGTTCGTCGGCGCTGTGTCAGACATGCGTTGATAGGAAGATAACTGTAAACAATGAAAATTGCGGTTGTTCGCAAGCTAATGAGTCGTCGAGTAGGTAAGAATCGTGGCCACCAAAGTTTGCTGACTTCAAAACTTAATTGAGGTAGAGTTTACTTTCGGTCGTAGCTAAAGTGAGTGGTTAGTCAGTCAAGGCATTGATTGAGCATACACTCACTAGGCCTTATGGGTTTTTGCGCTTTGGATATACTATCGCACATACTTTTTCATTGTGTCCGTAACCTTCAAATAAAATGTATCTGTTCTCTTCAGCTTACAATTCCATATCTCATTTTATTTCAACTTTTACTTCTACATTAATATCATAGGGTATCGCGAATACATATATAATTAGGACATAAGAACTAATATGAATATATATATATATATATATAAGTGACACTTTTCATCACTCGTCACCAGTTAGTATGGTATAAGATGGCACGCTTCTCTAAACAATGCGTTGCACCAAAAAATTGCCTTGTGTAGACTTTAGCGGGAGACCGTTGAGTAAAGATTAAAGATAGAACTTTCACTCGATAAATGTGCGCAGATAAAAATCATGCATTCCTGATAAGGAATTCATTCTATATCTAATACCTACATTACTCTTTCCAGGTACATTATGACAGGTGCCTGTTGTAGTATAACAAACAATTGCTTATTTTGACCAAATTACGTACGAGCGAAATTGCTACTTGGGCTATGGTTTTCGAAAGGAATGCTTATAGCACGTTTTGCTAGCTTCCCTCATATGGTTTTTTTTTTGTGTGTTTTTTTTTTTTTTAGGTAAAGAGCGGTTTATTTATTTACTTTTATTTGTTTGTGCGTTGTTGTTTCTGTTCTTTTTTTCTTTTTTTTTTTTCGAGGAGACATCAAAAAAGCACGCGAGCGATGGTCATCAAGAAAAGTTTTTCGCTGCCAAATAAAATTGTTATTATTATTATTATTGTTTTTTTTTTTGGTTTTGGCTTTTGTTTTTGTTATTTGCTCTTTTTCAAGCTGCCTCATCATATTGTTGTTTGTTGCTCGAGTATGTCTTTAGATTTAATGCAATAAATACAAGTAGGAGGACTTGACTCGCACTTGAAAGCAAAGTTCTTTTTAGAGCTTATAACGAGAGTTCTTATCTCTGTAGGGGCGCTCTTAGCTCTTGTTTATTTTGTAATAAAAATCCACATTAAACGAGTTTTTACGAGGCATTTATTGCTTAATTATTTTGAATTTTTTTGTTGTTTTTTTTTGTTTTTTTTTTGTTTAAATATTGTTTCAATGTTATATGAAGCGATAACGTTGGTTTTATTTGAATAATCTTGATATGTGTTTATGAAACATTGTAATTTTTAACGTAATCAAGGTGGCAGATTGCAGTTAGCTGCCCGTCTGTCTGCGAATTTAAATTTAGAGAAAGACCTTTAAAGAATGGTTTTATCCTCGACATATGTTTCTACGCTAAGACGACCTAAGAGATCATGGATCGTGCTATTGAAAGCGAAAGAGGAATACGCTTAGGCATTTAACTATGTCTGACGAATATATGCGTCACGATTCGTCCATCCGCCCTTGTCGAGTTTCCTCATGAAATTTTATTATTAATGAATGTATGTATATTTGTTACAATAATGTATTTCACAAAATATTTTTGTCATTTTGTCAAGTCGTTGTCTCATTGCAAATTAAATTCATATTACACGTAGTCTGCATTTGACGAGTATACAAGCATATCGCTGAAGAGATCGACACCGATAACTGATTACGAGAGTATTTCCTTTCCATGCCTGATAAATCGAATTTTAGATGACTACATGTTTTGGGAGTCTTTTGCTTATATCCTTCACAACTTGTGGCATATTAAGCTTGTATCTGTGTCTACAACACTCGAAAGGCCTTGAGATAGACCCACCGTTCATTATACCGATCGATTTAGAATTATTTTTTTACATCGATCTAAGGTTGTCCGATCGTCTGTGCATCTTGCATTCTTATGTTCAGTCTACAGGCCACCAATTTTGGAGATATTTTAACGACATTTTGTAAAAGCTCATGCAATTGTTCTGATCTGATCACTTTTTCGACCTCTCCCTATGTTAGATCTTATTTTGAAAAGTCGTTATAGGAGTAACTGTACTAAGCATAATGTTGTAGGGTATTTAATGATGAGGCGTGTCGATCTATAGTGTTTTTACTTGTTCTATTATTATTTCATCACTAACTCTAGCGATTAGATCAAGTCTATTTTTAATCTGAAATATCAAACTGAATTCTTATGATTTTGTGAAAATCATGTGATATCGAACGAATGACTTGATTCGGGTTCTTTGGGCATAAAAAATGATAGCTCATCCCGTATTTCCCTTCACAAAGGGATTTTCTCAATAAAATCTTGATTTTAAATTCAACAATGGTTTCAAAGCGACCAAAGGTTCATAACAAAATTAAAGCAGATGTCCGCGCAACGAAATAATTTGCAAATTTATGTTGAAATTTGTACGATATTCGACTAACATCTCTCTATGATATTCATTTGACATCACTCTGTGATAGCATATTTGAATGATATTTCCATACGGTATACGATGCTCGTGTGAAATGTCTCTACGATGCGAATGACATGTCTCTACCATACACGAAAGACATGTTTCTCGGATTTTCGATCGACAGGGGTACACGATATTGAATTAACATGCGATTGACATATCTTTCATATTCGATTGACATTTCTATGCGGTATCGGCATAAATATATGATATACGATTGATATGTTTCTACGATATGTTATTAACGGGCCCATTCGAGATTCGAATGATATTTCTATGCCGTATTGGATATTGGACTGACATTTGCATACGGTATACGATCGACATGTTTGTACGATATTCGGTTGACATATATCTTCGATTGATCAATGCGTTGGTACGATATTTGATCATCTCTCTGCGCTATTCGATTGGGTATGTTTATGTGACATGTTTAGGTCTATAAATATATACGATTGACATGATTACACTATATATGACTGTCAAAATCTATTAATTAAATATCCGAGGCAAGTCATTCCAAAAAATAATTGGATCTAAGAAAAATTATTTTATCTTCCATTATTAAGATGCGTTTAAATGATTCGAAGAGAACACACTACGCTTCTCTTCTAAATTTTACAAGAATGAAATGCTTATCAAAAATTTTTCTTTGAATAGATTGTCTTTTGTCTTCTTAAAATCACGTGAACGATCGTTTCGCTGTCGCTTTTATTAAATGATTAGAAGGTTCAAGTTAATCAAATTAAATGCCTTTTGTTATCCGGCTATATATCGGAGAGGAAAAAAAGGAACAAAAAAGGCGGAAACAT